ATAACATCAAAAATTAAAAAGACTCGTTGACTAGATAAGCAACTATGTAAAAAGAAGGCTATAACATACACTGATTCTAGTATTGTTTCTATAGAAATTCTATTAGAGACATAGTCCTTAGAACCTTCTAGAGACAAGTTTCTAGAACCTTCTAGAAGCAAGTCTCTAGAACCTTCTAGAAGCTTCTTAGTTGATAGAAGATGTTAGGGACATAGTCCTTAGAACCTTCTAGAGACAAGTTTCTAGAACCTTCTAGAAACAAGTCTCTGGAACCTTCTAGAAGCTTCCTAGTTGGTAGAAGTTGCTTGAGAAGCTTCTTAAATAGGGATATATATTGGAATCGAGGCTGAAGAATTCTTCAGTCTCGACAACACATCTCTTGGAGCTCTAGTTCACCTCTCTGGTGTTGTTCTTGTATTCATCTGATTAATCTAGTTCTTGTCAGTTCTTCTTGAACTTCTTGTTAGATCTCGAGTGTGTATTTCTGTGTCTGTAACAGTTTGTTGAGACTTCACTCATCTCAGATATCCGAGTTAGTTTCTTCCTCGTTAGAGTGCGGATTACCCCTCTGCTTGGAAGTGTACTAGCATTTTAGAGGTTGCGAATTATCCTCCTCTAAACTGATACTTCTTTTGTTACAATATTAGAGTCTTATTTTTCTTGGAGAGAGTGGATTACCCCTTTTCTTGAAGCTCTTAAGGCATTTTAGAGGTTGCGGAGTACCCTCTTCTAAACCAATATTATCTTCTTGTAGAGTCATTTTTGTCCTTCTCTTAGAATAGCCGGAGGCCAAGACATTAGTATGACAGAAAGTTCGGAGTCCAAGTTGGATGCTATCATGAATGCCCTCGCTATGTTATCACAAAGAACTGTAGAGATTGAAGGAGTCGTGGCAAGGCTTCATAATGATGGAGCATCTAGGATGGCACAATCTAGGTTGCACCAGCCTCAAACTTCTGCACTTGGAGAAGCAACTTTGCCTCAGGTTCGACAAGCACCGCTGGTTCTACAACATAAGGAGCCCCGAGTTAGCCTTCCAGACAAGTTTGATGGTACCCATTCCAAGTTTCGAGGATTCGTCAATCAAATCAGGTTGATAACAGTTTTATAGCCCGAACGCTATCCAACGGAGGAGTCACCTGTTGGGCTTGTTCGAACCTTACTTACAGGACAAGCTCTATCATGGTTTGCTCCTTTGTTTGAGAAACGATCGTCCATACTAAACAACTTTGTAACCTTTTTGGAGGCGTTTGCAGAAGCATTTGGTGAACATGACAAGGTTCGATGGGCTACAACAAAGATCCAGTCACTACGACAAGGGATGTGCTCTACATCAATCTATGCATCGGACTTCAGGCAATTAGCATGCGACATCAATTGGGATGAAGAGGCGTTGATAAGTCAATTCTATTGGGGTTTAAGGGATGATGTGAAGGATTTGTTGTTATCTCTTCCTGATCCACAAACGCTCAATGAAGCTATTAGCTAAGCTGTGAAGTGCGATAATCGCTTATTCCAACGCTACGAAGACCAACGTTCAAGACAACATACGGTTCGTCACGCCCCAACTATATCGGCAAGCAGTGTGAATTCACATTCAGAGGTAGAAGGCAAGCAAATTGATGTGGTACGTATCAAATTCCTTACCTTAGAAGAAAAAAAGCGACATATGGAGGAAGGTCTATGCTTGTATTGCGGTGAAGAAGGCCACAAAGTTGGAAACTGCCCCAAGAAGCAAAATCGACGTATTGTTAGGACTAGGGGCACGTTTGTTTAGGAAAACGAGGATGCCCCATAAAACGTTCGTTTTGCCAACTTCTATCGGATCTTTATCAAGAATTACTCTCAAGTTGCTGCTCCTCTCACTCGGTTGACATGCAAGGATAAGCTAGAATGGGGACCTCTAGCGGAGAAGGCGTTTCAAGACCTGAAGACCACATTTACTACAGCTCCAATCTTGGTACATCCAAACTTTACAAAGGCCTTTTATTTAGAAACTGATTCTTCGGATTTTGCTTTGAGAGCTGTACTTTCACAAATGGGAAAAGACAAGAAGCTCCATCTGGTTACATTCTATTCTCGAAAGTTCACTGCTGCTGAAATCAATTATGAGATCCACGATAAGAAACTTCTTGCTATAGTGGATTTTTTCCAAGAATGGCATTACTTTCTTGAAGGAGCTGCACACCCAGTGATCGTATACACAGATCACAAGAATTTGGAGTATTTCATATCGGCTCAAGTTTTAAATCGACGTCAAGCTCGGTGGAGTATGTTGCTATCTAGGTTCGATTTTGTTATCACTTATTGACCTAGAAAGCAACAAGGACTATTTGATGCCTTATCGAGGAGATCGTATCTTATACCAAAGGCTGAAGAAGCAACGTTTGATCAATAATGTACGACATTATTGAAGCTAGAGTAATTTCAACTTTGCGCTACTATTGTGTCAATTGATGCTGACTTCCTAAATCAGGTACGTGCTGTGACCATTGAAGATTCAGTAGCCATTGATATTAAGCAGCATGCCAATAACGACAAGTTCAAGGTGGAGGAAGATTTTTTATACTTTGAAGAGTGGTTATATATCCCAAAAGGACCAGCACGACTCCGAGTTCTTCAATCTCGCCACAATTTTTCAGCTGTGGGATATTTTGGATTCAACAAGACCTTGGAGCTTATTTCTCGAGATTTTTGGTGGCCTCAAATGTGGAAGGATGTGAAAGATTTTGTCCTCTCCTGCGACATAAAAAAAAAAGCAAAATATAAGTTGTATACAAGGCTTAATTGTGGATATTCTTACCATCAATATTAAAAAAATCTAAGAGTATTATGATTCCAAAACCAAAATAATAATATCAACTTATATTAAAATTTATCATAATTTTGATAAATGTGGGCTTCATTCTGACCAGGATCCCAATGCAATGTTTGTATCTTACATAATTCATGCTTTTGTATATACTACATGCACTCACAAAATATAAGCTTATAGTATGTGTGCTAGTTATCTATATCTCCAAATTGTGAAATCCGTAAGTTGCAAAATGTTGGATGTGGCAATCACATGTTGTTGACTTCAAGTTAAATTCCATTCCAATTCATCAATTTTTAATCTCAACCTCTATAGAACTACTCTCTTCACCATTGTAAAAGAAATTATTACTCCTTACTTTAGATGTCACTGCAATACAAAATTCTCCATTATATTGATACAATATGATATAAGAGTTTTGCAGTGTATAAAAGATTTGATCAACATATTTTTCTCAATCTTGATCTATCATCAATTGTGTATTAAAGATATGGTTGAATGCAATGTGCACATCAACAAGTTTAAAGTCTACAAGTTGTATCATATTTGTGCTTTGCAAATCAACAGAAGCAAAAATATATATATATATATATATATATATTATTACATAAAAAACAAAAAGTGATAGCATAATTATTGTATAAAAGAGATTTTAATAAAGCTAATAAACTATTAAAATAGAAAATATTTTTTAAATATTAATTTTTTTGTGATTAAATATGTTCTAAGATAAATATAGTTAAAAAAAATTAAAATAATATAATTGTGGCTTTTAAGCTAATCAAATAAAAACAAATATAAATAAAAAAAATAATATTTATAAATTGTATATCTAAAAAATTAAAAATTAATCTTTAGTATTTAGAAGATAAAAAAATAGGTTATAAGTAAATTTAAATTTGATATCAAGAAATTATAAATAACTTTGAATAAGAAAAAATAATTAATTAATTAAAATATTTATGACAAAATTATTGAAATAAATAAAAATAGTAGATATTAAAGCTATTCCTTGAATAATTAGAATTAGAAATTTCAAAGCAAGTAGTTAATGGATGTAAATTAGAATGAAGAGTTAAAACAATAAAATTTTAAAAAAATTAAAGAAAAAGATAAAAAATTAATTTGTAGATTGGAACATTGGATAAATAGATTAGTTTAGAAAGGCTTCTATTATTTATTTATTTATTTTTCACTTACAATTCGTTTTATTGATTTGATTTTTTTTTTGAATAATAGATTTAAAATCAAAAGGAAATCCAATATAAATTTAATGTGTTCATGAGGTCTATGATTAATTAAATACAAGGTTTGTAAATCCTAAGTAGCAATTTAATTTTGATTGTTAGTATATTACATTGAAAAGGTCAAGAGTTTATATTTATTGTAGTTTTTGTGTGCAACTTTTTAAATATAGGATTTTAGTTAGATTTACATCATGGATGCTAAAACAATAGATAAAATTTTGTTTGTCAGAGATTTAATTTTTTTTTATCCATTCCAATTATTCTTATGATTTCTTTCTTGTAAAATGATACTAAATAACATTGCAATAATTTAACTAAAAAAGTTTCAAATAAAAAAGAGCTATTAAATTTTATAACATAGAACATTAGAAATTTATATTATTTTAAAAGAATATCTTTTTATTTTGCTTAAGCTTATATAGTATTTTTTCTTACATTATTTTAAAATAAATTTATAATATAAATTACTCAAAGTATATTAAATGTAATGATCTATAGTTTATCAATACAATGTACCTTGCATGGTTTACTATTTATATATATTAAAACTTAGAATCTGATTCAAAAATATATTATTTTTAACAAAATAATAAAAATGTAATTGTTTGTCAAATATGCTTATCAATAAAAGATATATATGTATATATATATATATATATATATATATGCATATTATTAAGAAATTCCCAACGTTATCAAATTATTCTTATTTATTGATATCCATCCCACTTTCTTATTCTTTAACAGGACTGATACCCGGGTCGTGCCCACCGAGCCGGGTCCGATGCAATACCACACATGAATCGATACCCTGAAGATAAATGTTGAACCGGGTATAAAGGGATACTTTGCAGAGGGTTCACTGCTTCTTCGGGAAAAAAGCTGCCCGTGAACAGGTCTGCGCTGCCCGGAAGAAATTAGGGTTTAGGGAGCAGGAAGGATCAACATGGGATTGGGGCGGAGAGTGGGTTCTCTTCCTCTTGCGCAAGCGCGTGAGCTTCCCCAGCAGTCGACGACGACACCCCCTTCCGTGTTGCAGTCATGGCGGTTGCGCAGCCAGAAGTGAAGCTATTCGGGCGCTGGTCATTCGATGACATCGAGGTTTGTGTTTTTATTGCCACTGAAACCACCTTGTCTTTCAATTTTCACAAATCTCTGATTAGGACTTTGTGTATCGTGGAGCCGTAATGTTTCGGGTGTGCGACGTTTTGGAGTGGATGTCTTTGAGAATCTCTAGTATTTTAGGTGAATGATAAGATAAGTTTTTGACACGACCTAATAATCCGGGGGGGGGGGGGTTGTGTCCAGATCAATGACATCTCCTTGGCCGACTACATTGCCGTGTCCGTGGACAAGCATGCTACCTTTGTGCCCCATACCGCTGGACGGTACTCCGTGAAGCGTTTTAGGAAGGCGCAATGCCCCATTGTGGAGAGGCTGACCAACTCCCTGATGATGCACGGCCGCAATAATGGTAAGAAGTTGATGGCTGTACGCATCGTGAAGCACGCGATGGAGATTATTCACCTACTGACCGACCAGAACCCTATCCAGGTCATCGTCGACGCCATCATCAACAGGTGGGTTCTCTCGAAGTTCCATGAGGTGGCACGGGAGACGTTTGAATGCTTGGGCGTGTGTGTGTTGTGAAGCTGGGAAAGGTTTTTAGGCATTATTTGGTATAATGCCAGGGTTTTAAAGTAAGAGGGAGTCATGGTGTGAGTGCAGTGGACCTCGTGAGGATGCTACACGTATCGGATCCGCTGGAGTTATCAGGAGACAAGCCGTGGATATTTCCCCTCTGAGGAGGGTAAACCAAGCTATCTACCTGTTGACAACTGGTGCCCGAGAGTCCGCCTTCAGGAACATCAAGACGATTGCGGAGTGCTTGGCTGACGAGTTGATCAATGCTGCGAAGGGTTCTTCTAACAGGTGTGTGGTGTTCGACTGATAGTGTGTGCGTGTGGAGCATTTTTCGTGTTGTCATAATCGGGTAATACGCTCTTGGTGTTTCTGTTATTTGATTCAGTGGTGACTTTGTCACGGAGGCTAATTTGGTATTGTTTGTGGTAACAGCTACGCGATCAAAAAGAAGGATGAGATCGAGCGTGTGGCTAAGGCCAACCGTTAAGCTAGTTTTGGGATGGTTATTGTACACAAAGATTGTTTTTTAATATGAGAACTCACTCTTCAAACGATCGTGTCCTGTGCACAAAGAGGTTTTTAAACGCATGGGGGCTTTACTTGTCATCATTTTTCTTCACTTTTTTTCGCGAGACTCTGCCATGAATGATTTGCGAGAAAGGCACCGAATTATTATCACATGTGCATGGCGCTGCGATACGATGAAGAATTTGTGAACTTGTGCTAAAGCCGAGCTGGCGTTGTCATGTATGGCCGAATTTTGCGTTGTACACGATTCGCGAGTCTCCTTCAAATTCCTGCTGAGTTGAGGAAATTAGTTGGTTTCCATATTTAGTCTCTCCTGTGTATCTTATCCTTGAAGATGGACTAAATCGGCTGTTTCGGTCAAGATTAACCGTTTAACTAGATAAGGAGTCGTCCTTGTAATCTTCAGTAGATTGGGTGGACGTCGATTTTTGTCATAGAGCTATTCTTCCCAGTGTTCTTTTGTACGTGACGATGAGGTTTCCTCAATTTCTGTTGGAATTCGGTGTTGCAAGCGTTAGGTGGTGTGGTTGAGTCTCCAATTCTTTGGGTATACTTGTGACTGCACAGAATAATTGGTTGTTGGTAGTCTTGTCTGCAAAGTCACCATTTCCGTTGTGAGCTCGTTACATTCCCGGGAGCAGGGAATATAAAGTCTGACAAAAATATGCCAGCATTTTGTGACGTATAGGCCTTGCTAAATAAACTGTTACCATTAACATACAAATTAGTTGATTACTTTGTAGATAATTACGGTAGATGCGCAACACTCCAGGCTGCAGTTTATATTTCAGAAATGCAGATAAAATAGCTTATTTGACTGTCTTTTTGATTCATTAACAATGCGAGCATTTAACTGTTCACGCTTCACTGTATGTCGGTTCTTTCCTTCGACCAAAGGCACCGTGAAGGTCGAGACCAGCTGCGAGGTTAAGTGGTGTCGTTAATTTAAATGTTTATCTTAGCTTAATCATTTCTCGAAATTTTGAAGTACCATGTAATAGCATACAGTTAGTTTGTTCATATTTGATCTTCTACTCATATTCTTCAATTCTCTGCGTGGCTATGTCCTGCTCATATAATCCCTTGCGGTTCTACTTTGATCTTCTTGTTGTATATCTTGTGTTTCTTTGTTCTTATAATCCATTATCACATGAGTTTTAAGCATATTATCAATCCTTCAAAATATAGAAAGAATCATAAAACTATTCATTATAGTGTGATTCTTTTATCTTGTGCCTATTCACTCAATTGTGTGTACAATTTCAATCCTTTAAGTTGATTTTTTCACATAAATAAGGAGATTATCCAATCCAATGTACATCATTTTTTTTTATTTTATTATCATGTAAATTAATCTTGATTTTCTATCATTAATCTATGCAACATTTTACTTCATTTTAAAGAACTTAAAGTAAATTGTGCATATTGTATAAGATGTTACTTGTGATTTGTTGCATTAGTATAATTAATCATTGTGCATAACATGTTTCTACCTATTTTTACTTACTTCCATTTATATAAGTAATATATGCTTACATTAAATTATTTCTTTATATATATATATATATATATATATCAAAGTAGTTTTTTTTATTATTATAATTTTTCTTAATTAAAATATTAAAACTAATATATAAAATATATTTATTTGCTCAATGATGCTTTAAATGAAAAAATTCAAAAAATATTTTTGAATCATGTATGCTTTGAAGATACATTACCAAGTGTGGAGAAATATTTTAATATTATTTAAAGATTATAATTAATAAAAATAAAACTATTATTATATTAGTATAACTACTTTTTGTCTCATGAAAAAAGTAAATTTTAGTTTAATAAATTCAATCTTTAATTTTAATATTAAAATTTAGCCCTAAAAGTATATATATTTATAATTAAAAGTTATAGAATTGCAAAATTTGGTGATGTTCAATTATGATGCTAATTTTTTTTCTATTATATTAGCATATAGATCAGCATAATAAATATACCATCAATACTATTTATAATTCAAAGAAAGCTATTATTACTTTCAAAACAATTTTTAATTTCATATTTTGATTTAAAAAATAGTTCATAAAATAGAAATATAACAATTATCCAATCTATTAAAATTTAAAAAATTCATGCTTTGTTTCATTTATTTTTATAATATTTGAATAAATATTTTAATTTCAATTATAATAAATATATTACTTAGTCTAAATGAAGACCTTTTATCTATTTTTTTAAATACTAAATTTTGCAATATAAAAATGATTAAAAAAATATAATTTACTATTACATAATATATGAATTAAGATAAGATTTCTCATAATATTAACGTATCAAATTTATATTTATATAAATAAATAAATAAATAAATAATTTTATATAAAAATATATAATTAATTAATATTTTTTAAAAAGTTAAAATATTTTGTTAAAATCAAAATATGGCACAATCTATAAAAAAAACATTTAAAAATATTAATATTACATTTTAAAAATTTAAATATATTAAAATTATAATATATCTAAAAAATAATATATAATATTAGTATAATAAAATTATTTATATATATATATATATATATATATATATACACACACATATAAATATCTCAAATATGTTGAAATATCAAGAATATCTATGTATTCTTGATAATAGTAAATCTACTCTTTATTTTTGTAATAATAGCAAATGTATTCTTAATTCTGGCAAGATATTATCAATATTTGTTTTTTAATTGTCAACTAGTGCCCAAACCATGTGCATTTTGCTCCACAAATTTTGGCCTCTCTTAGTTTTTGGAATTTTGACAATTCTATGGACATTAAGGTGGCTTGAGACAATATGGTAGTATTGTATTGTGGTTTAGCAACGATGTAAAAATAATGCATATATTTGTCGAATATATAATTTATTATATAATATAGTGAAAACCATGTTATTATATTTTAATTGATTACAAAATGTGATTAGATTAGTACTTCAAAGTGGTTAGTTTAAAAGGACTATTATTGAAATTGATTTTATATTAATAATAGTTTTATATATTTAGAGCCACCTTTATTAGACATTGGTGACTATTGGAATCTTGTTTTGTTTCTTTTATTTGGTGTTTAGGACATATATTATGTAAATCTTATAAGAAAAAGGATTGGAGAGGATTTTTTGCACCAAAAAGGATAGTTAGGACATCTATATAGATGAATGGAGATGGATAATAAAAATCTCCATTACTATTGGCCAAAAGGCATGCCCAATGGGCTTCAAGGAGGCTATCTAAGGCCTTATTAGAGATTAGGATTACTCTTTGGAGGCAATTTGAACTTGAGAGGCTTGAATTAAGAGGTTTTTGGCTATGGTTTTGGTGCAAATTTTGTGTGATTTGGAGTTTTTATAAAAGAGATATAGGCGCTCAAAGTTAAGGTGTTGGTTATGTACCTATTGTCACTCTTTTGGACATAATGTACGCATATGAGAAGCAATGAAGGATCAGCAACTAGGATTGAAGAGGGAATTTTTCAGCTACACTTTTTATATATTGCTTGATGAATTCTAAACTATAATGAAGGAAATATAGGAAGTTGAATTTAGTACTTGCAATCTAAGAGTAGTAAGTGACCCAATTTACTAATGGTTGTTTTTTGAGCTATATCTTGAATAAATTGATAAGATTTTGGTTAAAACTTTCCAAAGATTTGTATTGTCATGTTATTAAAATTTACACACAAATTTTGTGGCATTTGAATTTCGGATTTTTGAAATATGGAGAAAATAGTACTCTAGTGCTTGTAAATTAGGATTTAAAGCACTTGCTAGGATTTCTAAGATATCAAATGATTGGGAGTAGATTTATGGTTTATTTTTTTGTATTAAAGCTTAAAAATAAAGTCTACATTATCTAGAAATTTGAGAAAAATTGAATGATTGGATCAAGAGATATGAATTTCTAAAGTTTTAGGAAAACAAATCTTTTATAAGAGAAAAATATTTTGAAAGGATTTTGCTATAATTTAGGAATTTTATGCAAAGTAAAGGTATTTTTGGAAGCCAAGACTTTATATATATGTTAAAGATGGAAATATGGAGCTATGGAAAAATTATGATATAAATATGAATTTTTATAAGAGGATTATGGATTTTCTTCGAGCTTACAGAAAATCAAACTTACCGACAAATAGTTAGTTATGATTTGGTACAACAAAAGATGTTAGGGCATTTCTAAATTTTTTAGAAAGCCTCACGTAGAAGCTTTCTTAAATATAAAAGATTTTTACTATTAGAATACTTTTTTTTATTGTTACATTTATTTATCTTCTATAATAGGAATAAATCACTTGTTAGACCTTGGCCAATAAATTAAAGCTAAACTCTCTATAGCTAGGTAGTCAATGAATTTCCAAATAGAAAATCATGCCATACAACAGTAGTAAAGACGAGTGGCATTGCCTTACTAAAATAAATGACAAAATTTTGTTGCTTTCCAAAGCTGCTTATTTGTCCATAATTTGGGCCATGGAAGTCCAAGAAGGATTAGCAAAATTTGGCTTGCCTTCTTAGGCTAAAATCTTAGACATTGTATTAGATTTCAAGTAATTGCTTCATCATTAACCATTTTGTATGACCATTTGACATATGGAATTATACCCAATTATTTATTATGTTCAAATATTAGAAGCTCATTTGCATTGTTACACAATCAAACTCTTTTATTAACTTTTTACATAGTCTACAAGAGGTGCACAACAATAATTTTCATAGTATGAAGTTTTTTTTCATGATATATGGAATTACATCCTAGTAGAAGACTAATTTATTATTCGAGCTTATTATTATAGGACAAAGTGCATGATGCTAAACAAGGGCCCTTATTTTTTTTTTAAATGATATACTTATTTATTTTATTTGGGCCTTAAATTATATTTATAAGTAATAAATAATGTAATTATATTATTTAAAATTTTCTTCCTTAATCTATACTTATTTATTAAAAATTTATTACTAAAAAGTAATAATACTTACTATCCATAATAATTTTATAATTAAAAACTTATTACAAATTATCCAAAATTATGATAAATATTATATGTAATTTAAAATTATGGTAAATATTATGTATATAAATATTTATTATTATTATTATTATTATATAAATTCATATTTATAATATTTAATTTTATAAAATTTCAAATAATTTATATAAATATAAGAGCCCTTATTTAGCATCATGCACTTTGTCCTACAATAGCAAGCTCCAATAACAAGTTATAATTTATCCAAGTAAATATAATAGACAATTTGAAAATTATGTTTGACTCTTATATTTACAAATTTATTTTATTTGGACCTTAAATTATATTTATAAGTAATTATATTATTTAATAAGATTAATTACATTATTTTATATTGCAAAATCTTGGCAATCTTAACATGTAAGGCTCTTGCTCTCATGCAGTCTAAATACAGCCATGGATAAGAAATGTGGGCTTCATTCTGACCAGGATCCCAATGCAATGTTTGTATCTTACATAATTCATGCTTTTGTATATACTACATGCACTCACAAAATATAAGCTTATAGTATGTGTGCTAGTTATCTATATCTCCAAATTGTGAAATCCGTAAGTTGCAAAATGTTGGATGTGGCAATCACATGTTGTTGACTTCAAGTTAAATTCCATTCCAATTCATCAATTTTTAATCTCAACCTCTATAGAACTACTCTCTTCACCATTGTAAAAGAAATTATTACTCCTTACTTTAGATGTCACTGCAATACAAAATTCTCCATTATATTGATACAATATGATATAAGAGTTTTGCAGTGTATAAAAGATTTGATCAACATATTTTTCTCAATCTTGATCTATCATCAATTGTGTATTAAAGATATGGTTGAATGCAATGTGCACATCAACAAGTTTAAAGTCTACAAGTTGTATCATATTTGTGCTTTGCAAATCAACAGAAGCAAAAATATATATATATATATATATATATATTATTACATAAAAAACAAAAAGTGATAGCATAATTATTGTATAAAAGAGATTTTAATAAAGCTAATAAACTATTAAAATAGAAAATATTTTTTAAATATTAATTTTTTTGTGATTAAATATGTTCTAAGATAAATATAGTTAAAAAAAATTAAAATAATATAATTGTGGCTTTTAAGCTAATCAAATAAAAACAAATATAAATAAAAAAAATAATATTTATAAATTGTATATCTAAAAAATTAAAAATTAATCTTTAGTATTTAGAAGATAAAAAAATAGGTTATAAGTAAATTTAAATTTGATATCAAGAAATTATAAATAACTTTGAATAAGAAAAAATAATTAATTAATTAAAATATTTATGACAAAATTATTGAAATAAATAAAAATAGTAGATATTAAAGCTATTCCTTGAATAATTAGAATTAGAAATTTCAAAGCAAGTAGTTAATGGATGTAAATTAGAATGAAGAGTTAAAACAATAAAATTTTAAAAAAATTAAAGAAAAAGATAAAAAATTAATTTGTAGATTGGAACATTGGATAAATAGATTAGTTTAGAAAGGCTTCTATTATTTATTTATTTATTTTTCACTTACAATTCGTTTTATTGATTTGATTTTTTTTTTGAATAATAGATTTAAAATCAAAAGGAAATCCAATATAAATTTAATGTGTTCATGAGGTCTATGATTAATTAAATACAAGGTTTGTAAATCCTAAGTAGCAATTTAATTTTGATTGTTAGTATATTACATTGAAAAGGTCAAGAGTTTATATTTATTGTAGTTTTTGTGTGCAACTTTTTAAATATAGGATTTTAGTTAGATTTACATCATGGATGCTAAAACAATAGATAAAATTTTGTTTGTCAGAGATTTAATTTTTTTTTATCCATTCCAATTATTCTTATGATTTCTTTCTTGTAAAATGATACTAAATAACATTGCAATAATTTAACTAAAAAAGTTTCAAATAAAAAAGAGCTATTAAATTTTATAACATAGAACATTAGAAATTTATATTATTTTAAAAGAATATCTTTTTATTTTGCTTAAGCTTATGTAGTATTTTTTCTTACATTATTTTAAAATAAATGATTTATTTAGAAATAGTGATGCATTGTATTTTTGGAAATTAGAAATATGAATCTATATATTTTATTAAAGGATAATTAATATATATATATATATATATATATATATACATATAGTCATATGAATAAAGAAAGAAGACCAAGAAGATATAGAATTTTTCAATTGAGACAAAAAAAAGAACAAACGAAATAGTGACATTGCCAATAGAAATCAAACAATTGGTATAATTGTCATATTACAATTTTGGAATTCTTTTGAGTTGTTTATTGATCACTTTTAGAATAACTTACTAAACTAGATATACATTTTTATAAACAACACTATATTTGATTTAAATCTTAAAATTAAATTGTAAACTAAAATCTTTTTTTAATACTAACAATCAAGAGAATTAATTTAATTTTTTTAAGAGAATTATTATTCTATTAATTGTCCAAAAATAAAAGTATAAAATTTACTAGATATCTAGCAATCATTTTTTCAAGTAACCAAAAATATTTTTTCAAAACTTTTATTTAAATTTTAAAACCTCAAAACTCAACTATTTATGCTTTGCTTATGGCGAGCAAAGGGGTTATGTGATAGCTTTCGAACACATATAATAAAAGTATGTTTTTGCAACTATAAAAGTGTGTCCGTTACAAGTCCCCTTTTACATTTGTCAGGTAAATAGAAACAAATGGATCTAGAGATAAAATCGCTTTCCTTTCCGCTGCCACTGTTTGCATATCTTGAAGTTTCATGAGTGAATCGAAATCAGACACATCAAATCTTTTCGTCACTGCCATTCCTGAATCATGAATGAAAGATACACACACATATATATATATGTACAATTATCATTTGTTTTTATTTCTCTCGTCTGGTTTGTGCTTTTCCATGAGTGAAACACTTTCTTTCACTCACCATGCGTGTCACCAGTCCTCATGCATCAACATTCACAGAAGGATGCACTGATAATTGTTGATTTGAAGAGAGTGTATCTCACAGTTTGGCTTATCATTCTCGTTAACTAGAACGGCACACAAATGTGGAGTTTTTTCTCAGAGTGAAGGTCTGAATGGAAAGGATTTTGTCCGCATTGTGGGTTCCAAAGGCAGAAGTGTGGTAGGCTGGAGTTGGGTGGTGAGCTCACATCACTCAGAAGACGTCGATCAGAGCTCTTCTGTACTCCATCGAGGTTTTGGAGTTAATACACATTTCGGGCTTCTTTTTCGTTGATTTTACCCGAGAAAAAGTTGGGAGCTGGTTTGATGTTCAACAGACAAAGCCTAGTCTACGCTCCGCGGCGAAGTTCCGAGAGCGTCGAGAAAATCACGGCTTTGATACGTGCGGGGATTTTCAAACCTTTGCTGTGCGGAGTCCTTTATAGCACAGATCGTTGGTAGGCATCGTATAGCACAGATCGTTGGTAGGCATCGCAATCGGGGCGTTGCGCGTATTTCGCACTATGTAAATGAGAGGATGGGGTGGGACAATGTGAGAAAGAGATGTTTATTTACTGTCTTTAATACATTTTAACTGTTCAATCGTCAACAACAGTCACCGTAAATATATTTCACCACAGCTCCCTTCACTTGTTCTAGCTTCGGTACTTGTTTTACTGTTTTACACGTCCGCAGGTTGACGAGACGACGTGGACGTTGTACCACTCCCACCAACTCTATATTAGAATTGAAGTTGCGGTGGGTCTGCTTTGCCTACCCTTTTCTTACCTTTTTTTTCCTGCTGGCATGGTCCAACACAAACTTGTTCTTACGATAAGGAAATTATTGAGTCCAGAAGCTTCGGAGTTCGACACAGAGGCATGAATTGGTAAGCCCTCATTAGTATCCGCCTGCTTTTTCTTGCCAACTCGGTATCAGAAATAACTGTGTTGGACCCTCCTCAGAATTGCCTCACCATTCGGAGACTCCTCAGAATTGCCGCACCACTATGGATAGAAACATTCACACCAGTCGCATGAGTGTCCCACGATTCAGCATCTATATAACTAATGTTTACGTACAAACACCGACCAAGTTGACCAGAAGTCAACTGATTGCAATACGAATCTCGAAGAAGAATTGTAGAGCTAAGCTTACAAACCATAAATAAGAGGCGTGTGAATGTGGAGACCAGTGTAACCGTTCGAAGAAGGAGAAGAAGAAGCGAGTCGATTCTCGACTTTCCGAGTAATGGATTGGACATGCCTTTGTACAAAGTTGAAGATCTAGACTAATTTTAAAAGTTTAACTATATAATCTAGGGACGTCACAAGAAAAGAACTACAATAATAAGACAAGACCCGGACTGGTCCCAGACTGGTCCATTCGAATAGCATCTGGACCCTGGCATGCCACATCTCATGAATCACGGTAGGACCACTGTTTCTTCTTGTGCATGCTTATATATGATGTCGATCATGCACCGTTGCCATACCAGATCGTTGGAGACTACGTGCGAGGTCGGCAGAGTAATTTGGTCCCGAAACCTGCAGTGGGTGCATAGCTAACTGAAGTTGTGGACCATCAGGCTTTCCCCCTCGAGTGGTGCAACAACTATCGGAGCTCTTCTGAGCATAATTTAGTTGTGCACGCGATGGATTTTGCTCAAGGATGGGGATCGGAGAGCATTGCCGGCATGATGAAGACGATTGTCACAGCCTTCTCGGGAATTTTAAGTCTGTTGTTGGCATACCTGCTGTGGGCAGCGGCAGATAACTGGGTTCTGCATCGAGAGAGGAAAGGTCCAGTGCAGTGGCCCATTCTAGGTATATCTACCGATTTCCGTATCGATTTATTTGCAAAATTGACGTGGCCTCATTTTATTTGAAGCATGATTCCATTGAAACGATTCTAATCATGTTTTTTTCTTTTAACACTAATCAGGAGTAACGCTGGAGGCTCTAAAAAATTACCAAACCTTAAACGACTGGGTGGTGTACTATTTCCTCAGAGACGGGCTCACGTTTTCGTGCAAAATGATGCACTTGGACCTTACCTTCACGGCTGACCCTGTTAATGTGAAACATATACTCAAAACCAATTTTGCTAACTATGATAAGGGGAAATTTTTTCACGAAAACTTCGAAATATTTCTAGGGGATGGAATTTTTAACGTGGACGGGGAAATCTGGAGGACGCAGCGCAAGACGGCCAGCTTCGAATTTGCTTCCAGGAAGCTGAGAGATTTCAGCACTGTGGTATTTCGTGATTATTCGGTGAAACTGGCCTCTATACTTGCCCGAGCTGCCACTGCGCAACAGTCGATGGATATGCAGGTCCGCTTCAAATCGATTTCGTCTTATTTTGATTTATTCTCTTCCTCGTTAGGCTGTAATGTCAAATAATATGTATTTATATATATATATATATATACACATACAAGACTTCTCTCGATCTTACGTCTCATACCGAATCCTCATGTCTCCTCCACAGTCGCTTGTTTCGATTCGAGAAGTTCTTCAAGGCTTCTGAAATCTAACAAATTGTTTCACTTGACATTTTAACAAGCAGTACAAGCGTGGATGAGTGTAGTTGAGAGAGAGAGAGAGGATTTGATCGATGAACTTGTGAATATGTAACAGGACTTATTCATGAGATTTACTCTAGATAGCATCTTCAAGGTAACCTTCGATTACGACGTCGGGACCCTCCAGCCGGGGCTTCCCAATATCCCCTTCGCCCAGGCCTTCGAAATCACCAACGAAATCACCTCCAGCAGGCTTATCAACCCTATCTGGAAGCTGAACCGAGCTCTTAAAATCGGCAGCGAGAGAGTCTTACTTCAGTCGGCAAAGGACGTAGACGAGTTCATCTACGGAGTCATCGAGGCAAAAAAGGCTGAGATGGCAAACTCCAAAACCGATCTGCTTTCCGTAAGTCCCTCCTTAACTCTCCAACTCCATGAGATTTTCCAAACTCCATCACTTCTGTCGATGACACATGCATCGAGATCGCGCAACATAGGAAGAAAAATAACCACAAAAACCGAAAATCGTCAACATAGTCTACCCCGGTGCAATACAGGCGACAATCGCTTACGAGGGCTTGTGATGGGCGCATTTTCACACAGGGGAAGAGCGATTTATTCTCTCGGTTCATGCGACTGGAGGAAGACGACTCGGACATCCAGTTCACCGACAAGAACTTCCGCGACACGCTGCTAAATTTCATCATCGCAGGGCGCGACACGACGGCGGTGTCGTTGTCGTGGTTCGTGTACCGGATGGCGCAGAATCCGGAGATGACGGCGAGGCTGCAGCAGGAGCTGCGCGACTTCGACACGGTGCGAAATTGGAAGCAGCAGCCCGAGGGCGACGAAGGGCTCCGCCGTCGCGTTTTAGGATTTGCGGAGCTGCTCACGTTCGACAACCTGGTGAAGCTTCAGTACCTGCATGCCTGCATTCTCGAGACCCTCCGCCTCCACCCTGCCGTGCCCCTGGTATATCCTACATTCATACACACTTACATATAACTATATATATATATATATATATATATATGAACTTACTCACTTAATTAAAGTGGGTCCTTTCAGGACTTGATTGTGATATTCTTTCTCTCACTGTCATTGTTTTGCTGCTCTGATTGTCCTTCATACCTTAAGTATTGTTATTGTTGTTGTTATTTATGCACCTTTCACTGCCATCCTTGTTTGGTGTTTTATATCTCATGATGCCTGCTGCGCTTTCCTGGTTGAGTGAAGTCAGTACCCTGCCTTCCTTCCTCCCTTTGTTGGGGCACACAAGAGTTAGTTGTATATCATGTCTTTTAAGGGGTTATCATGTTTCTCTTCTCTAGTTGCTGTGGTTTGTGTCCCATGTCAGTTCTTCTCTTTGCTTCAAGTTGGTTTTGTTGGTTTTATTTTTTTGTGGTGGGGTTTGAAGTTAGTGGCTTGGCTGAATGGAGGCATAAGGCTTTTAGTTTATTTTTTGAGTTTTTCATGCTGTCTGTGCAGGATCCAAAACATGCAATAAATGATGACATTCTCCCAGATGGAACCCAAATAAAAAAAGGGTCGTTGATTTACTACACTCCTTATGCCATGGGAAGAATGCCTGCTTTGTGGGGACCTGATGCTATGGAGTTTAAACCCCAGAGGTGGTTTGTGGATGGAGTTGTGCAAACTGAACAACCCTTCAAGTTCACTGCCTTCCAAGTAAAAAAAAAACATTTACCCATTCACTTTTTTTGTATATATATATATATATATATATATATATACTTCAACTAATTATAATGTTTATTTTTTTCTTTTTATAAAGCAAGTTTGAAGATGGCAGTAACCACAAACAGAAGAATAATTGTGTGTGTTATTAAAATAGAGTATTACATACAAACGAGTATAACTTTCATACCTAACTGTATAATTTCTTTTAAATGTGACACATTTCTAGAAAGGTTAAGAAGGAAAATGGAATGTAAGAAAGTACCATGAATGTTTTTATAATGATGTGTGTGTTTTTTGTTGTGTAATGTAGGCAGGACCTCGGATTTGTCTTGGAAAAGACTCAGCTATGTTGCAACTGAGGATGGTCCTTGCTTTGTTGTATAGATTTTTTACATTCCAAATTGTAGAAGGGACTGATATTAGATATCGCCAAATGGCAACTTTATTGTTAGCTAATGGTTTGCCTGCCAAGATAATTAAGCAAAAAAATTAACCAAAGAAGAATTCTTGAACACATTTGAGATTTTTTTATAAATTTGTGGATAAATGTTAGAATATTATTATATATGGTATTATTGATTATAATTAATGAAACTATGTCATAGTACTTGTAGACTGTAATTTGTAACTAATGATTAATTGTTTATAATCATGTTACTTTTATTAAAAATAATAAAGTTTATTATTTTTAATAAAAGATAGATTATAAAAATTTTATCTAATCTATTTATAATGCAATAATATTTGATGTTGGATATTGGAGTAAAACATTAGTTTTAAAATAAATTTTGTTGTATATGTTTTTAAAATAAAGATTGTGGTATGTATTTATATATATATATATATATATATACAAATGCATTAAAAGAATAGATTCTAAAATAATGTACAACAAAACTTGGATTTTTTAGAAAGTAAAAAATGCAATTGACACAACAAAAATGTAAAATTTCATCTCAATTATCTTGTTACCGTGCTGTGTGTACCCAAGCAAGATTTCTTTTACAAATTGTTACTTAATCCTCCCTATTATTTTTCTTTGAGGTTACATTTGTGACGAATTACCACTAGAAATCAACTAGAAATCAACATGAACAGGACTAGAAATTATTGCAAAATAAATGGCTCTTAAGATCTTTTTAAGTGTTATAGGGATAAAATATTAGTATTCTGAAAAATAATCTATTAAAATTTGTATAAATAGTTATTTTAAGAATATATAAAAATATTTAAAATATATATATACCTTTTTTTACTTATTCGATATTTTTATTAAATTTTAAATAAACCAATAGTTTATAAATAGTTATAAATAGAAGATGATGCATTAGAAATTTGTATAACAAATAAAAGATGCATTGCTAGTTGTTAAAATAATATTAATGTTCTCATACACAAAATAGGATTAAAAGAAATTCATTTCTAGAATGTTTCTCTAACAAAATATTTAGTCCTCGTATTAGTCATATATATAAAAATTAAATAAAATTATATATATTTTATTTATTTATTTATTTATTTATGTGCGATTTTGCTTAATAAGTTAAATGATTAAAATATCACTATAACTTGAAGATATTTACTACTGTTTGTTGACAGATTATTTTTTGTTTATTAAAGAGGATTAGAAATTCACATCAAATAGAAATTCTTGTAATACCTTTTATAATACTTTCATAGCCATCAAATATGGTCATGCGTGTTTTTATTTTTTTCCAAGTTCACTAATTTCTGTGAATATTATAATATTTATATTTTTAAAATTAAAATTTAGAAGACATTAATAATATTTGAGTACAATAGCTTATAATTAAATTAATTAAATTAATACATAGTAAAAAAACAAAAAACATCTTTATATTAATACAATGTCATATATTACTTATTTATACTTTTAAGATATATTGTATCATGGCTTGATTCAGAGACACTAAAATTGTTTATGAATTTTATTTTTAAATTGAAATTTTATTTTTTTAATATTTATAATTCATTTGGATATGTTATATTTTATATTTTATATTTTATTTTATTTTTTAAAATTATTATAGATATAAATTATATTTAGCTAGTTATAAAATATTTATAAATTTATTATAATAATATACTTAGTTAACATGTATATTACAATAATTTTAGCTAACTTGCTTTTAGAATCCAAATATACACATATATATATATATATATATATATATATCCAAATAATGTAGCTAGTGTAGTAAGTATTTTTTTAATAATTTACTTACATGTTCATCATTCACCAATTCAAAATGCAAATCTTTAATGTTTCAACACTATTTAGAAGTCTTAGAACATCCTACAAATATGTGCTATGATATACAAGATTTTACATTAGTTATAAGCTTTTATTATTAAAAAAAATTAATTATATATTATTCAAAATATTATTACTATTTGTTTTATAAATGCATTATGTTTTTTTTTCAAACTACCTCTATTACATAGAATTAGTCAAAAAAAGATCTAATTTAGACACAATTAATCTAAATCTATTGATTATTAAACTCAAATAAATTATAATTTCTATTTTCTTCTTAAATTCTAAATGAATAAAGATTCTACTTTAACTTCCATACGGATTTAGCCATATAATTTATGTTACGTTTTTTTTTAGTTAAATAACAACCAAATTAGCACATTTTTTTAAGAATTTAACATCTTACTATATTTTCATGTATATGCAATACATCTACAAATATGTTTCAATTTCATACTTTTATGCAAGTATAATGTATCACACAAATTAATTGTAAGGTTTAACCTACTCCATACAATTGGACCCTTCTTTAGACCGAATTCTGACCCAAATTCCACCTCAACTAAACCTTGATTGAATTTAATCTAAAAAAAGCCCTAATCTTAAATCACAAATTCTAAAGTTAGACGAAATTCTGACTCAAGAATACAACTTGTTGACATCCAAGACTAGGCTACAGCTACATAGTAGGCATGAACTAACAACAACCGAATTCAAGAGAGTGAATGCTCCTCAGAAGCAAGACACCAACAACTACAATAATTTTTCTTATTCATCACTTATGTCCGATCACTAACTGCTCCACACACTGGGTCATAAACGCTGTGAAAAACAGACGTCAACAAAAAAATAAAAAATAAATAAATAAAGGTGTCGGTGTGAAAACCTCAACCTAGAAAAAAAACGAAGAAGAAGAAGAAGAAGAAGAAGATAAAGTTCTGCAGTTCCTTCTGCCCTCATAACCTCATGCACAACAACACTACCTCCAAACAGAACATGTGTTATCGATGCCATTTTCATCGTCTTCATCGCTGTGTTAGACAAGTGATAAGTCATGAACTCAATATTGTCATGCCGTTTTTACAACTCATGGTTCATGCGATTCTTTCAAGTTCAAATTATCTCTCTCTGGATCGATGACACGCCATTCCAAAAGCTCCACGTCCATCTGGCTTTTTTCTCTATCTCTTTTTCAAGCTAATGAAGAGCATCCACATGCTCTGTATTCTTCAGACGGGATTAACTTCAGTCTGCATTTTGAGATTCGAACATCCTCTAAACGTCCGCCTTTTCCTTTTCTGGGGATTTAATCCGAAGGAAATCATTGTGAACAAATTTCATCCTCAGAGCTGCTTCTTGGAGTACTTCAATTTCCTTGTTCAAACTCCAGATCGAGACATTGGACTCCTCTTACGAGCTCTCGGACTGTCGTTTCCTCTTCAAGTTCCTCTCGTCGCCGACGAAGATCCTGAACTAAACCATCCATTTTACAGATTCTCTTCATTTCTCTTGCCCTCCAGTTCACTGAGCTCCTTGCACAGGTCCGATAACATCTTGCATGAGCTTGGCCTCTTCCTCGTGCATATCATTGGATCTTAAATGACGTTTTTTGTCGAAACGCCTCAAGAACTTGAAATTTTTCAACAGAATTGGAGGTAGGATCAGCTACGTGTTTTTATTTCAGCGACTCTCAAAACTGTTGTTCAAGATCCCTTACCGTTTCATCAAAGCTGCTGCCTCCGCATCTCTTCTTTCACTAAGTCCTCGCAGATCAGAGGTGTAGGGTGCTACCTGCTCATGATCTGCATGCAGCTGCTCCCAGACTGTCTAAATACCAACTACCAACTCCATCCCCTCTAATTCAGGGGCAAGTTTATCCTGCTCCAGTTCATCAGAACCCTCTGTCTACTACATATTAGTATTCCTAGTGATCCTAAATTTATTAGCTATCTTCATTGGACAATTCCCTTTCACTATTAATTGTGCTCTTCAACCTCTAGCACTTGGGTATGTAGACTATCAACTAATGTTGATGTCGAATTCTCCACCTCCAAAATCTAGACCAGTTTCTGACATGTCCTGAGCTCAGCCTGTGATCTAAAGGCCAGAAGCCAAGTCCAAGATTTTGTACTCTGTGATCTTCTTTGGTAGCGTAAATACACTCAACGTCGCAACATTCTGATCTCCTTGTTAACAAACCGCAACATTAGACACATCAAAAGTGGACAAAAAGTTTGTGTTGTTCAACTTCTCAGTTTACGGACGTGCTCTTGACAATCTTCCAACATGCCCAATAAACACAATATATTTCTCTTTTTCTGTCTATTTTTCTGAAACAAACATCTACTTGGGTCTTCAATTTGATTTTTTCCTCACCGACAGTTTCTAGACTTTTCCAGAGCATTGAAATGTTCTTCCTCCAGCTTGATGAGATGTGCCTCAAAATCAATTATTTGATTTAATAATTTACTCACATTTGATATACATAACTGAGTCTCAACTACCCCAACCTCCATTGAACCGTCATCCTCATGTTGTTTGATTGTTGATTTTAATTCACTGTCTTCAATCTTTGTACATATTTTATTCAACAACAAATTACTTACTAGTTGACTGGATTTAATGGATGCGATTCTCGCAAGATGGTTCTCCTCTTTTAGTTTTTTCACGCCCTAGCTGTAAGTAATTAATTACAACTTTGAAATTCATGTTGGTTTCCTTATTGAATGTATCATTACAAATACCAATTCTCTTGAATCACCAATCATAATATTATCCCAACTTTGTTCAAATCTTTATTTATATTGTCACATTGTTTTTACCTTGCCAAATGTTAAAAAACATGAATCCAAAAAATCAAACACAAGACAAGGTCAATTTCTTTGCTTAACTAATTAAAATTTTGTCACTTTTGTTCTTCTAATATTCTCTTTCTATTCATTTCTAAAAGTCTATATAATAAATGAGTGGTTTTTTAAATTGATTTAATTATTTCATTAATTTAATAAAAATATATCTTTTTTATAAGTTTTTTTCTATAGTACACAACACAAAGATCTTGATATAGACTATAATATCTTATTTAATAAACCATGGTTGAAGGGTATTAAGGTATTATAAAGCTAGACAAATAATTAAGTACAAAGATATATTATCTTATTTTGATTATACCTTATTATTATGTATAATTTATTTTTGTGCATGAACCTATAATATGCACTATTCTATATTATTTTTACTGATTTTATTAGAAAATTAAATACTAAAAATTATTGATACATTTTTAAAAAATAAAATACGAAATAAAAATCTATTATTAAATATTTTAACATTAAATTATATTAAAAATTTTATATATAGTACTATTTAAATTAATAATCTCTCTTTATATTTTGAATTTTTCTTTAAAATTATGCAATACAAATTTTTATTGGTTTAAAATATAATTCTATCTCTATGTATCTATGGTTTCTCTAAATCATATAATAGAATTCTAAATATTAAATTATATGCATAAAATAGTAAATAAATCATAATTTTTAATTTATATATATGTATATATATATATATATATATATATATATGCATTCAAAAGAAATTAACAACTTTTCAACGTCTTACATTTGAAAGTTAGATTAATTTAATGTTATGGAATAATAGATTATATCTTTTAAAACTTTAAAATTAAAAAAAAAAAAAAAAACCAAAAAACCAAAAAACAAAAAAATCAAAATCAAAATCAAAATCAATTTTTTTTTTGTGAGTATTTATAAGATAAGATTATAAAACTATTAAAAATATTATGGTGTTGAAGAATAATAAAACATAATAAAGCATTTTTTTGATATTTTATAATTTTTAAATAATTAAAATAAATTAATATGAAATATTATTAGTATTTTATTAAAAAAATAGATTATTTTAATATTAAATATTTTTAGGTCTCTATATTCATACAATAATTACTTACATATGATTTATTTTTAAATTAAATAAATAAATAATTAATGGATGTATAGAATTATTGAGAATTATTATTTGTGTACATATATCTCATTACTATTGACCTTAAAAATTAATCTTCTTCATTCCTAATAAAATAATGTGGATTATAATATATTTTTTAAATTAAAAAAAAAACTTTTCCAAAAATCTATTAACATCTAATATTGTTGTAATGTATATATTTTTAGAATCCAACATGTAAGAGGATTATTTCTCTTTTCTTTAATATATTATCATATTATTATAATAATTAATTCTTCAAATATTACTATATTTATATTATATATATATATTTCTTAAAAACATGATTTTTTACTTTCAATCTTAATTAAAAATAAGTATCTAAGAGCAATAGTAGAACTATTGATAGCAAATATGTTTTGGTAACAAATTTAATAATTAAAAATAAAATAAAATAAAATAATCTTATATCTTCCATAAAGGATTTGACCAAACTTGCTACATGCTGCAAGGATTTTTACTCACTATTTTAAGTCAGTAAATAAATAGTGGGTTGAGCAATTTTTTTAAAAGGTTGACATTTGTAATAGAGGATGTGATTTTTGGTTGAAGCTCTTTTATGTAGTTAGCAAATGTGGAGTCAATTCCAAGTAGCTTAATGGGAGTTATTGAGTTTTAATATTTAAAATTAAAATTTTTACTTTTATTAAAATTTTATCTTTTCTTAGCATGTTGGAGTTTATTGGTTAAACCTTGTTGTTTTCTTCTTTTTTGGCCAAGAGATTATTGTTAAATATTTAAATTATCATTCCCTTCAGTGATCCAAAATTAGATAAGAGGCCATGCTTATGGCAAAAAAAAACATCAAACTTGCCTTAAATTTCTAGTTATCACTCTAATTCTAGGATAAGTCAAGCTCTAATTCAAAGCTTTGGTAATTGTAAATATTCTTCATATCTTTAATTTCTACTAGTAAAAATTTATTTGTATTTTTCATGTTTTTTAAATTTTAACAACTAATTTATTTAACATTAGACCAACGATTTTGTTATCATTCAAGAAAATAAGACATACTAAAACATATAAGCATCTACATAGAATATACATGTCATCATGTATTAGGTAAGCTCAAAAATTTAGCACTAAGTGCATGTGTGCCCATCTCTAAATTATCCTATTGTCTTTATTGCATAAATCCCATCAATCTTATAATGAAATAGTAATCTTACACATTTCATTACAAAGATTTCAACCAATTATTTTTCTTTAATTTCTTCTATATTATCAAATAAAATTTCTAAGGCACTTACTAATTGAAATATATATATATATATATATATATATATATATATTAACGTTTTTAATGTTAATATATATAACGTTTTTAATGAAACATACTGCAAAAACTTATGTTTATTTATTTATTTAGTTTATTCATTTTATTTTAATTTTTAAAACATTTCACAAAAGACAATAAAACCATGCTTTAAATCTTGATGAACTTAAGATATTCTTCAAGAGTTATATCCATAAAATAAAATAATTCATTTAAAAAAAAAAATTTCTGCAGGAAAACAGATTAGAAAGAACAAATCATGTTTTCCAAAACCCATGACAACCTCTTTGTCTTGAAAAACTATACCAAAGTAAAAAATATCTCACAATAGTGGCAACAATTAGATGTAGGTGGTTTTACACTCATGTATTCTACACCTTAGAAATCTCTTCTTCATCAAAATAGGGTTGCAGCTAGGGCCTAAAACTCGGTTGGGTTATGTAAATATTGAAAGGTGATCCACAACCATCAGTGGTTATTCAACTTTCCACCCAGCATGAAGTTATGGACAAAGTCAATTGGTTCATCCTCCCATATCTCATCAAAATTAATTTTTTTTTAAATAGGGACTCAATTCAAAGTTCTACATTATGATATAAAAATAAAAATAAAAATAAAAACTTTCAATGGCCTTAGAATCTCAAATCTCTACAGATTTGAAACTCCAGTGGTGAGCTTTGTAAAAGCAGTTTGAGAGCCTTCTAAGACAAAGGAAACAAGCAAAGATATTTTGAGATCAAGTTATTCCATGGCCAATTTGTGATCTTATCTTTGATCTTAATTCTATTTTTGCTCATCAAGCCATGAACTATTGATGTATTTAGTTAAACTAGGAAGAGAAATTTTGTAAAAGAACTCTCCCACTCCCAATACGACATCGCAAAAATGGAATAAGTTGTTGGACCAAAATTTTCATTTTAATTGGAGTAGGGACTTGGCTCAACCCTGCTCTTGTAAAGAAGATGTGTTGACTTGGATCATCTCACACAAAGGTGTGGCAATTAGCACATAGTGAGGAAAAGTTACCATACTTATCAATGTTAATTGTGATATTTGTTCTTTAAATCAGTGTGAAACTATCATACACTATTTTTGTGAGTGCCTGCAAGCATGAAAAATTTGAAGTTGGTCTGCTTCCCTCTTAAATAAATTGACTTGAACTTCTTGGAAATGGGAACCATAGAATGCCTTCATTGGAAACAAGCCATATTTGCAAATAAAATCCCTCCCAGATTCAAATGTTTTCAGAAAATTTGGTCATTACTTCAAGGACTATGCTTGTGGGCAATTTGGATTAAGGAACAGGTTTGTATTTAAAGGAGTATGGAGTGACCTCCATACTAGAACAACAATCTGACAAGATCTCATATACTCTGGGAGGCTTTGAGACATGTCTTGGATGGCATAATAAATAATAGATACTAGAACAAATATGATAATTAAAAGGGACTCTAGAATACCCCGAGTGGTTTAATAATACACAAAACTGTATTATCTCAAGGGGTAAGTGAATTAATAAGTGATGCAAACGAGTTGTGAATCAGGTCGGAAAATAAATGTATGGGTTGATATAAGTACATCTGAGTGATTACGGAAGAATAGCAACTCGGCTGAATTGGGTTTTATCAGCGATGAATGAAATGGGATGGTGTGGTATGGAATGGGAAAAACTATACAAAAGAATGCTGGCTAGGGTTTAGGGTTTCGCCGCGAGCAAGCTCGGTCCGCATGCAGAGCTGCCACATCCTACTACGCTACGGTGGAGCTCTCCCTACTCTTGAACTTCCTCGCGAGATCGGCAAAAAGGATTTCGTTCCAGGTATCCGGCACTCCGGGCAAGCACCAATGCAAGCAATCTTGCCCACCGACGCCGCCACCGTACTTGGAAACATGCGTTTCACCTCTTTCGAAGGACAGAGACGTGATGTTGAGCAGATCAACACCAGTGCCGATGATTGCACTCTCGGCATTTGGGTCCAGACGATTGCCCTCCTGCACTTGTTTTTCGTTCTCGAACCGGATTTGATCGCATGTGCCGCCTGTGTTCCAGTCTCCGTTGCGGAAATGGCGAGGTGACAGGGATCGGTAGTAGGCTATCGTTTGGGTGTTTTTGATCCTCTCACTCACCCATTGGACTATACTATGTACTGTCAGGTTGTAAGCTAGTGGTACCGCAATGTCGATGGGATTGCCCTGGTAGTAGTAATCGAACCGGTTCAATTTCTTCTTACCCCCGTTCCAGTGGTGCCCCGTGTTCAGAACCACGACGTCTAACTCATCGATGTGGTCTCTCAAAAACTCTTCCGGGCGGTCGAGATGAAGCGCGTTCCTGGTCAGAGGATCAGTCACGTTGAGTGGGTGCACCTCCCCAAGGCTCACCGTCCATCTGAAAATAATCGTTGTGTTGGTTGCGTCGAATCTGTGGGCAAACCCATTTGGCTTCCGTTCCCCTTTAGGAGTGTAGAAGCCGAACGTTGACCCGATGTCGGTTATGGCTGTGTCATTCCTCCCCCGAGTGAGTAAACACATGATCGACTGGTATTGTTGACGGCCAAGAGAGTCTCCGACGAACGCTATCACTTTGTTCCGCAGCCTGAATACACAAACCCCAACACATTTGGAGTGAGATTACTGAAACAGAAAATCGTAGAAATAACTTGTGGAAAAAGGGGAGAGCTCGGCGTAAAAGGCTCACGTTTCCAGGACGCGGGAGGCATTGAATGGTGGCATATCGCATCCCGCTGGCTGCCACCGGTATCGATCCATAAGCTTGTTGGGGTGGTCGTGAAGCCGGCAAGAGAAACCCGGGGAGAGCCACAGGGTGCACTCCAGGCCAGAATAAAGCGGCCTTGTGTCGTCCCGGACCCATTTCCCAACAGAGTAATCGCACTGCTTCTCTGACGTCTCATTATGAGAAGTGTCAGTGTTGGTCTCTTGACTGATTCCATCTGGTTCAAGAAGGGTCTCCTCGGACGATGTAGGCGGGCTACCAATGCTAGCTGGATCCAAAACCATCCCGTCTGCTTGCTGGGCGTCTACAGATGTCTCAGACGACTTAGTGAGCTTCTCAGTGCCATTGTGCATTAGCCAGTCGTCGTCTTTCTTCGGAGATGGGGTCTCCACCTTGCTCCACGCATCGATTTCTGACCTAACCAGATCATTCTCCTTCTCCGCCAAGGACTCTTCCTCTGACTCCCGGGCTGGGGTATCGAAAGAATTCCCGTCGATTGCAACGCTCCCGTTGCGTACGCTGCTACTATCATCTTCTGCAATTGTGCTCCCCGCCGCACTGGGTTCTTTCGATGAGTCTTCTTGAGCAAGAGTCTGAGGCTCCTGTTCCTCCATAGAGTCGGGTGTGGTATCGCTTTCCGTCAGATCGGAAGCAACTATAACAGCAAACATACACCCGGTTGTTGTTTGAGTGCTGAGGTCCCAAGGAGGTTACGAAATAGAGATCTTTCTGTACGAAAATAGTAGATGGCCCTTGAAACTAACTCCTCAACTCATTACCAACGGCTCCACAGCAAATTTGCTACCCCGATAGTGTCTTGCATCGATCCGAAGAAGTTACTTTTAACTAACAAAAATTCAATCGACTCTTACCAATCTGAACCGCCACACTGAGCTAACACAAGGAAGTACGTAAATCCAACCAAGCTTACCATCTTTCGGGATAGATTTCTCGGGGCTGTCATAAACTCTGAGTGTTTCTTTCCCAGCATAGCCACCTGATTAATGGAAACGAAAAAAGAACCAAAACGGTGAGAAAACCGTATGTAGTGTTTTCAGTGCACCTCAAGGGCACTCAGATCTGAACACACCGTAGTGTACTGGAAAATCAATTCACCAAGCAGCAATTAAACAGACACGCAGGCTCCCCCCTGAAAATCGGGTGTGCTATTACGGGACAGATTCAAATCGCAACGACGGAGATAATTTTGAAGATAGTCAGACTGTGACTCAAGTAGATACGACGATCAAGTGAGGACAAGAAACTGCGTCTATTTATTAAATCAAGTACTACTCGCAGTCAGGTCCTAGCGAGGCAAATGAAAGTCGGTTCCTGTATTGAGCAAAGCGCAATCATTGGAATCGTCAAAATATCAATCAAGCCGAAGAGATTGCTTTGCCAGAACCAGGACGCCAAGATTGCACAGAGAGAGAAAATGCTCGGATGCGCGCGGAAGGGAGAACATACCACTCTTTGGAATCTGTGACTGAGCATTGTTGAAGGCAGAGAATGGCGCCGACTCCCATAAAAGCACGACAGCCATGCTCGCAACCATAGCCAACATGAGCAACATCGTCTGATTCCCTCGCGTCATGCCGCACACGCTGCCAATATCTTTCGTCCCTCGACGATTGTAATAAGGCTCCATCTTGCACTCCCTTCCACTGCGCTAGCTCACTCGCTACTAGAATCTCCTCGCCACTCGGCTCAGGCTCACTCACTGCATTAAACGACGCACGTACACGGCGCAAACCCCACACATGCCAAGCTCAGTACGTCCTGGCAAATCACAAATGCTGGCGCTGAATAATCAAGCTCAAAGCTTGCTCCAGCAAGAAACCTCCCCTCCATCGGACACCCCCTCCCCCCTCCCTCTCTCGCCCACGACCCCACTGCTCCTCTTCCAACTCGAAACTAATGAAAAACACTAGGCTACTAACACTAGGCTGCGAGGGAGATTGTCCAACCTCCGCAGGCACTAATGCAGCCAGTGAGCTGGAATTGAATCCACCAACAGTTCCACAAATTGAGTGACCACAGCAGAGAGAACCTCTCCTAGCCGCACAACAAGACAGCACGCTTCCTTCGTCCTTCATGCCGTGATTGTAGCAAAAAACGCCCACACTTCCTGCAGAACTCGTTCAAGCAGTCACCGCGGCTTCCGGCCAGTGGTTACTCTCCACGAAACCAGGTTACAATCAAAAACAAGATCAACAGATTGGACCAGCACCCTGTTAAAGATATTCATCACCTCGCCATCCAAGGAGATTCATTGATGCACGGGGAGTCAAAGTTGAGATATCTGCGCACCCACCTGCAGTCATTCATGAAACCAGGATCCGATTCATAGGACACCCACGGAGCACAGATGCAGCTCCAATTCGCTTTCGCAGCGTTCGTGATTTTTACACTTCGAGGAAAATCAGAGTTAAACCAGCACCGCCACGGAAGTCAACCAGGCGTAGTAAGACTTAACTACGCCAGGGGGGGTTGGCACCCTGCTGGCGATGGCGAGGCTGCCAATATTAGCTGACGAATGAAATGCACCGTCAGCGCTGGGTTGACTGCATGGGATCCCTGCCGTGCACTGCAGTGAATTGTAGGTAGGAGTCAAGCCGTGCTTGTGTCGATTGCTGGAAAAAACGAAAAAAACAAAAAAAAACAAAAACAAAAAGCAAACAAACAGAGCCATTCATCGGCGAGTTCTTTCGGTCGAAGGTACTGTTTTTACCACATCTCAGCGACTCGTATCATTTCCGTGTCGTTACAGCTCTCGTGTATCGATATATCGTCATCACGACGGGCACCATCGCGGTGCCGCTCATCGCCCAAAGCACGTCCCCGACTTGCCCCCTCAGGAGTGTTCCCGTTTCGCCATCGCCGCAACCTCCGATGCCCATTGACGACGCGAAGCACCGAAACTTGTAAACGAAAAAAACAAACAAACGAAAAAGTAGAAGTTAGTTTTTAGTATATGAGTGAAGGCCTGCCACCACTAGATGGATTGGCACATTGGCACCGTGTATGGCTTTTTGGGGCTATGACCTCTAGTAACACCCATCGATGTATATTTTTCATGGCCCCATCCTCCATTTATGTCTTTTTAAGTTACTCCTCTTTTCCAAATTTAGGGGCTTTCTTTGGCTTTGCAGATGTTTGCTGACTTTATTTTGAGTGTGTGCTTTCATTATCAAGGACTAAAATTGTCATTGAAATGTTTGCTAATTAAGGTGGTTTTGTGAAACTTACTGGTTTGAGATTAAGTACATTGCTTCACCTTCTTTTCTTTTCTTTCTGTTAAATTAATGTATCAACTAATAAGCAAAGCTATCACATGTAAGTTTTGATAAATACGTTGGCCTCTCAAAAACTAAAATCAAATTTTTTTGTTTCAAACCCTGAATCGGATTGACATTAAATTCAACACAGCATACTATATATATATACATAAATAAATAAATAACACACATCCACACATTCCCACACACACACATATATATATATATATATATATATCTATAAACAAATTGTCCAAAATGCGAAGTAGTTTAATCCATCCAAAGTCTTTAAAGTGCCCTGAATCTAACACCTTGAGTCCGGGATGACAACATGCCCTTATTTTGAGCCCCCCCCCCCGTTTCTCACATTCTGCAATACAAATTTCAACCCAATAATCCATTATTGAGCTATTTCACAGACTCCCCCCTCCCAAGACCCCATTCTAGGATAACACCTGAACACTAAAACTAAACCAGGACCCGCGGGGCGTCCACACCCAGCCCGCACCATGTGCACCACCCAGCTGCGGGATCTGACAGCTGGACCCACCACCTGGCACCCGACCTCGAAAGAACTGACGTGGACAATGTTTGGAACCCATTATCGCGGCTGATTGGGGCCACGTCATCCATCAGACGGGGTTGACTCGTCTTGCCGGAAGCCATTCTGTGGTCCGCCAGGATTCCGACGCGTTATTGTTTTCCTTCTATTTATTCTTGGCCTGTATTCACCTACTTTCTTACTTAGTTTGGCTCGTAGCTCAAATCGAAGGTCACCGAAATATTCTGCCACTTTATTGTGAAACCAATCAAGGCAACTGGTAGAATCACAAGTGGGGAGAAGCTTCTACTATCTGATATGTTTCAATATTGATTCGGTGTTGTCGATAATTTAGCATTTTGATGACCCTACACATCCTTGGAATGCGCGACAGTTGGGAAATATCAGTAGTCACTAGATATATAAAAATCAAGAATCAAAAAAATTAATAATACGAGTGTCTGTACCCCATACCGTGTAATCAACACCAACACCTGTATATACTATGTTTCAATTTGGCGTGTGGTACGATCTTCGCCATTTACCATTACTATTATTATTCCTCCTATTTAAATACGTATCCACTCACATTCCACTGTTATCTCGAGCACAAAAATTCTTTAAAATCGTAGTTAACACATTACAATAACAAATTCTTTTTTCTCTCTATTTGTTTACAAATCATGTGTGGGAAACGTGTACCAGCAAGGATAGAGGTTAGCAATCCCCATGAGGCCCCCTTTTGTGTGGTACAGCGAAGGGTAACAGAACAAAACGGGGGTTGATATCCCTCGTCACAGGACATACTTTAGTTGATGAGTGAGAAGAAACTGCGGGACAAAGCTCAGCAACAACAAGAAGCAAGTAAGCAAGCAATGAAACGAACAATACTGTGCATGCCAAGATGGGCGAGAGAGAGAGAGAGAGAGAGAGAGAGAGAATGGGAACACGTTCCTCGGTAGGGTCGGGAACACGTTCCTCAAGGTTCCCGAGCGGGGTCTTCTGTGCATGATTGGCTCCTCGCGCGTGACGGCTGTCCACCCCACATCGCAGATCTCAAGTATCTCGATCTTCCGCCACGTGGTATGACGTTACGGGGAATGGACAGGGTCCTGGAATCCTAGCTGGAATATCGTGAACCATGAAGTTGTGACACGTGTCGACCGTTTTCCACGTTTTGATTTTTAGAAAGTGTGTTTGAACTAACGTTTTTTTTCTTTTTTTCTATTTTCTCGCATGGCGTCATATTTTTGAAGTCCCCCCAAATAATTCATTTGTGAAGACTATTTGGAAAAAAAATTAACAACTTTTCAAAGCTAATAATGAATACAATTATCAACTTCTAAAAAATCACATTCTTAAAATACAATATTCCTATTTTTATTTATTTATTTTATTTGGGTACTTCGTTTGTAATAAAAGATGGTGCATAAATTGAAGACCGGTTAACATCAAAGGTAAATGTCTAAAAGAATTGAAACCAACAAAAGACTTGAAGTGAAGAAAAATAATTTTTGGTGGGACCATTGGGTCACAAGCAAGTGTGGTTCTCATGCCTACCAAAACAAGAATGTGAGTCATTTCCTGATTTACACATCAAAATATTAAATATATTCCATACAAAAGTTCAAATCATAGTTGCCAATTTAACTTTTTCTTTGTCTAGTCCAAAACGTTCCATAAATACAGAGTTGGTTTCTTCGTGATTTTGGAAAATTGCAATTCTTGAAAATTGCAAAAGTGTCTAGTTTAAGCAAATGAGTTATCCATAAACTATTCGGATAGTTGTTAAAAAGTTATTTATCGAAATCACATCAAAATAAATTAAAAACGAGAGAGCATGTGTTGAAATATTTTAAGCTTGTGATCATTAAAATAATTCAGCAGATGGGTTTGAATGGTCTTGTGGTGAGAAAGTGAATATTTAAAATATTTTAATGATCTAAGATTCGAGAGAGTGTGTATTCTAATTAAGATTCCAAAGTTCAATTTTCATAATTTTTTTCTACTTCCAGAAGTCATGCAAGAAATCAAAAGTTAATGTCGCTATTACTAATGTGTCATTTCATAACAACTTTGACAAGAAATGTATGTAAGTAGGATTTTAAGTAAAAGATTCAACTGGGTTTTTAAAACTCCAGTTCTTAATAACAATGGCAAATAAATAAATCTTTCCACTTCCATACTCCCATGAAAAAGATGATTACAAATTAATGAATGGGAATATGTCAAAGTGAGTAGTAAATAATGGGGTGGTTACGCCAACAAGTATGGTCATTGTCATAAAATGCCATAAAAATTTAAACTTATTTGGCTTAGACCAAAAAAGTTAGCTAGGTTCAAAAGAAAGCTCAAGCAGAATATAATCATTAGTAATATTATTAGCAACTATATTAATGTAGTTGATACTGTAATTTGAAAAGCATTGCTTGTTCCAAGCCCAGTCACAAGTTCAAATGTACCTCAAGTCCACAATTTATGTACTTAAAGTGAAACAATCGATTCCTATGCACCCCACATGATCAATTTTGTTTTTAGTGATCTCTCTTCATATAAACCGATGGATCCAATCAGAAGCACTTCAAAGGAATGATTTAGTTGGTTATCAAATTGAAAATCTGAAGCTGGAGAAATTATGGAGTCATGTTTTATATTGTTGAAAGTTCAATACTGTAACATACCATTAAATTGAACGGTCTAATGTAGGGACAACATTTTGTGACTATATATATATATATATATATAGATTATTTTAAAACCTTAGATTTATGTTCTTTGGACTTACTATATACATATATATTGCCTTTTTAAGAAACAAATCAATAAGGTTATAAAACATACACTATTGATATTTGATAAAATTATGTGTTGCAAGGAATATTACTATTATAAATAATGCATATAACCATCAGTTTTATAACTTTATTGTGCTACAACCTGATTTTTTAAGTTTTATAGAAAAAATACAAAAATACATTGAGTAATTATGATTAGAACAATAATTGAAATAAATTTTCAAATTCACATAGTTGGATATGGATATTTAAAGATTAAACAAAAAAAGTTACGTAAATATTAAATAAGAGAAATCCTATCAACACCATCATTTACTGTGTATACACCCCTATGCTTTGCACCCCTTGCATACACATCCCTGCAAAAAACAAATTCTTGTATTAGGACAAAAAATTGAACCAAAATTATGATTTGATTTAATTAATTTTTTGGAGGAAAGATGTATATGTATCACAAATATACATAAGAACTCTTGTAAATACCTATATGATAAGGTAGAACTAGGTAAAAATAGATAAAAATAGATTAATTTCATTATATCTTCTAGAGAAGCTTCTTAAAAGCTTTATAGACGTTGTTTTGACTTTATATGTGTTTGTAGTTGATTAATAGGTTAGAAACTTGGTCAACAAGTTAATCTCGTATTGATAGCTTGTAAAACAAGTTAACTATATGGAATACATATAGAAAACTTGCCTTGTAAGTTAAGATATGTGTCTTGCAAAGTCAA